TTCTTTCTTTCTTTCTTTCTTTCTTTAGGGCCCGAGCGTAGCTGCTAAGCAGCTGCGAGAGCCCTGTTGTTCCTGATGGATTCTTCTTAGGGCCCGAGCGTAGCTGCTAAGCAGCTGCGAGAGCCCTCTTGTTCCTGCATGTTTCCTTCTTTTGTTATTATTAGGGCCCGAGCGTAGCTGCTAAGCAGCTGCGAGAGCCCTATTATTCCCCAAGTGGTTTTTCTTTGTTTCTTTTTAGGGCCCGAGCGTAGCTGCTAAGCAGCTGCGAGAGCCCTATTATTCCCCAAGTGGTTTTTTAGGGCCCGAGCGTAGCTGCTAAGCAGCTGCGAGAGCCCTCTTGTTCCTGTAGTTTCCTTCTTTTTAGGGCCCGAGCGTAGCTGCTAAGCAGCTGCGAGAGCCCTCTTGTTCCTGCATGTTTCCTTCTTTTGTTATTATTATTATTATTTTTCCTCCCCTTTGAACTGGAAAATGGCCCACTTCCCACTGGCGAAAACTCATGAAATTTGGCAGGACGACTGGGCCTGGTGAAAAATTTGATATTCCGAAGTCGCCCAAACAAGAAAATGCAAAATGGCTCCATAGCGCCCCCTAAGGTGAAAATTCACACTATTGACTGTCACGCCAGTACGCTTTGTCAAAATGACACAAAAATTGACACACACATGTATCTCAATAAGATCTACAAAAAAGTCAGTGCGGGCGTATCTGTCAAATGTACGGTTAAAGGGTTATTTCGCATTTTTTGCCGATCCGCACACATTGGAATTTCGCTAACTCCTCCGAAGGCTTTCGTTCCACCGGCACCACATTTGCTCAGGCCAATCTACACCCCATGGCCATTCAAAGTTATTCAAATCATGACGCTGCACCCCACGGTTTAGGTTCTAGGGGGCGCCAAAGATAACCCTAAGATCCACATATTTAAAAGTCTTATAACTTTTTATTTTTGCCCTCACTGGCCTCCAAGTTTTCTAGGATGGTGCAAATGTCCAGCCATCAACACATTTGTGAAGGAATTTTTACTCCCCAAAAGAGCGCCCCCCCATGGCAGGAGAAAAAAGTCCATTTTTTCTTGTCCCCTCAGGTGAAAATACACATTGTTGAGTGTTACACCTGTACGCTTTGGCAAAATGACACCAAAATTGACACACACATGTATCTCAATAAGATCTACAAAAAAGTCAATGCGCACGTATCTGTCAAATGTACGGTTAAAGGGTTATTCCGCATTTTTTGCCGATCCGCACACATTGGAATTTCGCTAACTCCTCCGAAGGCTTTCGTTCCACTGGCACCACATTTTCTCAGGCCAATCTACACCCCATGGCCATTAAAAGTTATTCAAATCATGACGCTGCACCCCACGGTTTAGGTTCTAGGGGGCGCCAAAGATAACCGTAAAATCCACATATTTAAAAGTCTTATAACTTTTTATTTTTGTCCCCACTGGCCTCCAAGTTTTCTAGGATGATGCAATGTCCAGCCATCAACACATTTGTGAAGGAATTTTTACTCGCCAAAAGAGCGCCCCCCCCATGGCAGGAGAAAAAAGTCCATTTTTTCTTGTCCACTAAGGTGAAAATACACATTGTTGAGTGCTACGCCTGTATGTTTTGTCGTATTGACACAAAATTTTACATACACGTGTCTTTCAATAAGATCTTCGAAAAAGTCAATGGCCACGTATCTGTAAAATGTACGGTTAAAGGGTTATTTCGCATTTTTTGCAGATTCGCACACATTGGAATTTCGCTAACTCCTCCAAAGGCTTTCGTTCCACCGGCACCACATTTGCTCAGGCCAGTCTACACCCCATGGCCATTAAAAGTTATTCAAATCATGACGCTGCACCCCACGGTTTAGGTTCTATGGGGCGCCAAAGATAACCCTAAAATCCACATATTTAAAAGTCTTATAACTTTTTATTTTTGTCCTCACTGGCCTCCATGTTTTCTAGGATGATGCAATGTCCAGCCATCAACACATTTGTGAAGGAGTTTTTTCTCGTTAAAAGAGCGCCCCCCCATGGCAGGAGAATAAAGTCAAGTTTTTCCTGTTCATCATTCAATGGCTCAAACGCACTGCTCTCTCGGCAAAAGCGAAAGGAGGAGCAACTTGCCATTTGGATATATCTTAGCTGTGTTTGTGCCCTCACTCATGGTCCAGACTTTTTTCAAATAGGACATGGAGTTTTTCTGCAGCGAGCGTTTTGGTAGAAACTGCGCCTCCCGTTCATTATAATGGTAAATGACCACAAACAAGTGCGCACACCATCTTTGGACCTTGAGTGTGACACGATCGGGTGGGGGAGGCGGTCGCGCTGGGGGCGGCGTGACACGGCTCGGGCCCGCCAGTGCCCCAACGGGGCCCTAGTTGTACTTGTTTTTGTTCTTTTTTGCATTCAGGATGGCACAACGAAATTTCGTTGCTTTGTGCAATGACAAATAAAGTCTATTCTATTCTATTCTATTCTATTCTAAACACTTGATGGCTGATATCTCATTGCGGCCATCTTGCCATAATAGTAGCTCATAATAGTAGCTTGTAAACATAATCAATACCAAAGGTCTTCAAAACCATACATAGGTCCTTGGTAACTTTTGACACAGCAGTGGATCCTGAGTCAGGTTGGGTCTAGCTTATTGTGGCCTCTAAGAAATGCAACCCCTACGAAATGGCATTCAGCACATTTCTTGTGTTTTGTTGTCCATGGTATAAAAATACTGATACAAAAGTCAGCTCCCTCCCTTTTTGGACTGTCTAAAAAAGCCAGCTACATCACAAAACTCTGCCTTTGACATCCTCTTGTCAGTTTGAGAGAGCACTCAAAGATATGACTGTTTCAGATTGCTGAATGCCCTGGCTTCTGCCTGTAACTGTGATGGTTTGTAGCCTTATCGGTACCACAGCTTAAAAAATCACAAACTGTAATTCAGAACCAGAATCAGCTTTATTAGTCAGGTCCTTGCACATACAAGGCAATTGACTCCCGCCGATCAAACGCTCTATGTTAAAACATTTAACATGAAATGTTACACAATATTATACAGATATTTAACCTATATATACAAGACTGTTGTAGGCAGTAGTGCAATGGTGAGCAGTGCAAAGGAATTATTCTGAATCGGCTGGGCCTTGGCTGTACAGACAGTATAAATCAAGCATCCATGGCGGGTAATCAATTGATTATCGTCTTGAAATTCAATCATCTATCTGTATTGATTCTGTCTGTTGAAACTTTGGTGTCAAATTTGGTGTGCTTTGTTTAGGCCAGTGTTTGAGTCCGAAGTAAATATGGCACTTAATTATATCAAAGGTAGCACCAGGTCAAAACTCAGTGTCTCCGTTATTCACAACTTCTGACTGTAAGAGAAAAAAAGGTCCACAACACTACAACCCTACAATCCAAATTCATGTAACCGAAGACCCTGCTGAGCAGCAAGAGTGCTTCTGTTTACACCTCTATATCATTTAGGTTTATCATTTTTGTTGTCAATGTCAGAATAAAAGAGACTGATGCCAAAATGGACATGATAAGTTTGAAATCAGAAGTTTCCGACCAAATCAACCCAAATGCCACATGTTTATATTTTAAACTCAGTTTCTTACTTTTTATTTCACATAGACTTTTTCACTGATGGTGAGACAGCTGTTGATCACTTTTCCTGTCATTTTATATTGTAAACTCACTCTTTAATGTTATTTAGGGCCCGAGCGTAGCTGCTAAGCAGCTGCGAGAGCCCTATTATTCCTGATGGATTCTTCTTTCTTCTTCTTCTTCTTATTATTTTTCTGCCCCTTTGAACTGGAAAATGGCCCACTTCCCACTGGTGAAAACTCATGAAATTCGGCAGGACGACCGGGCCTGGTGAAAAATTCGATATTCTGAAGTCACCCAAACAATCAAATGCAAAATGGCTCCATAGCGCCCCCTAAGGTGAAAAATTCACATGATTGAGTGTCACGCCTGTACGCTTTGTCAAAATGACACAAAATTTGACACACACGTGTATCTCAATAAGATCTACAAAAAAGTCAGTGCGGGCGTATCTGTCAAATGTACGTTTAAAGGGCTATTTCGCATTTTTTGCCGATCCGCACACATTGGAATTTCGCTAACTCCTCCGAAGGCTTTCGTTCCACCGGCACCAAATTTGCTCAGGCCAATCTAACCCCCATGGCCATTCAAAGTTGTACAAATCATGACGCTGCACCCCACGGTTTACGTTGTACGGGGCGCCAAAGATAACCCAAAAATCCACATTCTTACAAGTCTTATAACTTTTTATTTCTGTCATCACTGGCCTCCAAGTTTTCTAGGATGATGCAATGTCCAGCCATCAACACATTTGTGAAGGAATTTTTACTCCCCAAAAGAGCGCCCCCCCATGGCAGGAGAAAAAAGTCCATTTTTTCTTGTCCTATAAGGTGAAAATACACATTGTTGAGTGTCACGCCTGTACGCTTTGTCATATTGAAACAAAATTTGATAATCACGTGTATCTCAATAAGATCTACGAAAAAGTCAACGCGCACGTGTCTGCAAAATGTACGGTTAAAGGGCTATTTCGCATTTTTGGTTGATTCGCACACATTGGAATGTGGCTAACTCCTCCTAAAGCTTTCGTTCCACCGGCACCAAATTTGCTCAGGCCAATCTACACCCCATGGCCATTAAAAGTTGTACAAATCATGATGCTGCACCCCACGGTTTACGTTCTAGGGGTCGCCAAAGATAACCCAAAAATCCACATTCTTAAAAGTCTTATAACTTTTCATTTTTGTCCTCACTGGCTTCAAAGTTTTCTAGGATGATGCAATGTCTAGCCATCAACACATTTGTGAAGGAATTTTTTCTCCCTAAAAGAGTGCCCCCCCATGGCAGGAGAAAAAGTCAAGTTTTTCCTGCCCATCGCTCAATGGCTCAAACACATCGCTCTCTCGGAAAAAAACGAAAGGAGGAGGAACTTGCCATTTGGATATATCCTAGCTGTGTTTGTGCCCTCACTCATGGTCCAGACTTTTTTCAAATAGGACATGTAGTTTGTCTGCAGCAAGCGTTTTGGTAGAAACTGCGCCTCCCATTCATTATAATGGTAAATGACCACAGACAAGTGCGCACACAATCGTTGAACCTTGAGTGTGACGCGATCGGGAGGGAGAGGCGGTCGTGTTGGGGGCGGCGTGACACAGCTCGGGCCCGCCAGTGCCCCAACGGGGCCCTAGTATTATTATTATTTTTCCTCCCCTTTGAACTGGAAAATGGCCCACTTCCCACTGGCGAAAACTCATGAAATTTGGCAGGACGACCGGGCCTGGTGAAAAATTTGATATTCCGAAGTCGCCCAAACAAGAAAATGCAAAATGGCTCCATAGCGCCCCCTAAGGTGAAAATTCACACTATTCACTGTCACGCCGGTACGCTTTGTCAAAATGACACAAAAATTGACACACACATGTATCTCAATAAGATCTACAAAAAAGTCAGTGCGGGCGTATCTGTCAAATGTACGGTTAAAGGGTTATTTCGCATTTTTTGCCGATCCGCACACATTGGAATTTCGCTAACTCCTCCGAAGGCTTTCGTTCCACCGGCACCACATTTGCTCAGGCCAATCTACACCCCATGGCCATTAAAAGTTATTCAAATCATGACACTGCACCCCACGGTTTAGGTTCTAGGGGGCGCCAAAGATAACCCTAAAATCCACATATTTCAAAGTCTTATAACTTTTTATTTTTGCCCTCACTGGCCTCCAAGTTCTCTAGGATGATGCAATGTCCAGCCATCAACACATTTGTGAAGGAATTTTTACTCCCCAAAAGAGCGCCCCCCCATGGCAGGAGAAAAAAGTCCATTTTTTCTTGTCCCATAAGGTGAAAATTCACACTATTGACTGTCACGCCTGTACGCTTTGTCAAAATTACACAAAAATTGACACACACATGTATCTCAATAAGATCTACAAAAAAGTCAGTGCTGGCGTATCTGTCAAATGTACGGTTAAAGGGTTATTGCGCATTTTTTGGCGATCCGCACACATTGGAATTTCGCTAACTCCTCCGAAGGCTTTCGTTCCACCGGCACCACATTTGCTCAGGCCAATCTACACCCCATGGCCATTAAAAGTTATTCAAATCATGACGCTGCACCCCACGGTTTAGGTTCTAGGGGGCGCCAAAGATAACCCTAAAATCCACATATTTAAAAGTCTTATAACTTTTTATTTTTGTCCTCTCTGGCCTCCAAGTTTTCTAGGATGATGCAATGTCCAGCCATCAACACATTTGTGAAGGAATTTTTACTCCCCAAAAGAGCGCCCCCCCATGGCAGGAGAAAAAAGTCCATTTTTTCTTGTCCCATAAGGTGAAAATACACATTGTTGACTGTCATACCTGTATGCTTTGTCATATTGACACAAAATTTGACACACACATGTATCTCAATAAGATCTACGAAAAAGTCAATGCGCGCGTATCTGTAAAATGTACGGTTAAAGGGCTATTTTGCATTTTTTGCCGATTAGCACACATTGGAATGTGGCTAACACCTCCTAAGGCTTTCGTCCCACTGACACCAAATTTGCTCAGGCCAATCTACACCCCATGGCCATTCAAAGTTTTAAAAATCATGACGCTTCACCCCACGGTTTACGTTCTAGGGGGCGCCAAAGATGACCCAAATATCCACATTCTTAAAAGAATCCACATCCCCCCCCCCCCACCCCCATCCCCCATCCCCCATGGCAGGAGAAACAGTCAAGTTTTTCCTGCCCATCACTCAATGGCTCAATCGCATCGCTCTCCCGGCAACACCGTAACGAGGAGCAACTTGCCGTTTGGATATATCCTAGCTGTGTTTGTGCCCTCACTCATGGTCCAGACTTTTTTCAAATAGGACATGTAGTTTGTCTGCAGCGAGTGTTTTGGTAGAAACTGCGCCTCCCATTCATTATAATGGGAAATGACCACAGACAAGTGCGCACACCATCTTTGGACCTTGAGTGTGACGCGATCGGGAGGGGGAGGCGGTCGCACTGGGGGCGGCGCAACGCGGCTCATGCCCGCCAGTGCCCCAACGGGGCCCTAGTTTGTTAGGGCCCGAGCGTAGCTGCTAAGCAGCTGCGAGAGCCCTCTTGTTCCTGATGGATTCTTCTTTCGTTAGGGCCCGAGCCAGCTGCAGAGCAGCCGGGCGTAGGCCCTATTATTCCCCAAGTGGTTTTTCTTTGTTTCTTTCTTTCTTTTTTCTTTTTCCTCCCCTTTGAACTGGAAAATGGCCCACTTCCCACTGGCGAAAACTCATGAAATTTGGCAGGACGACCGGGCCTGGTGAAAAATTTGATATTCTGAAGTCGCCCAAACAATAAAATGCAAAATGGCTCCATAGCGCCCCCTAAGGTGAAAATTCACACTATTGACTGTCACGCCTGTACGCTTTGTCATATTGACACAAAAATTGACACACCTATGTATCTCAATAAGATCTACAAAAAAGTCAGTGCGGCCGTATCTGTCAAAATTACGGTTAAAGGGTTATTTCGCATTTTTTGCCGATCCGCACACATTGGAATTTCGCTAACTCCTCCGAAGGCTTTCGTTCCACCGGCACCACATTTGCTCAGGCCAATCTACACCCCGTGGCCATTAAAAGTTATCAAAATCATGACGCTGCACCCCAAGGTTTAGGTTCTAGGGGGCGCCAAAGATAACACTAAAATCCACATATTTAAAAGTCTTATAACTTTTTATTTTTGTCCTCACTGGCCTCCAAGTTTTCTAGGATGATGCAATGTCCAGCCATCAACACATTTGTGAAGGAATTTCTACTCCCCAAAAGAGCGCCCCCCCATGGCAGGAGAAAAAAGTCCATTTTTTCTTGTCCCCTAAGGTGAAAATACACATTGTTGAGTGTCACGCCTATACGCTTTGTCAAAATGACACAAAAATTGACACACACATGTAACTCAATAAGATCTACGAAAAAGTCAATGCGCGCGTATCTGTCAAATGTACGGTTAAAGGGTTATTCCGCATTTTTTGCCGATCCGCACACATTGGAATTTCGCTAACTCCTCCTAAGGCTTTCGTTCCACCGGCACCACATTTGCTCAGGCCAATCTACACCCCATGGCCATTAAAAGTTATCAAAATCATGACGCTGCACCCCACGGTTTAGGTTCTAGGGGGCGCCAAAGATAACCCTAAAATCCACATATTTTTTTCTTTTTCCTCCCCTTTGAACTGGAAAATGGCCCACTTCCCACTGGCGAAAACTCATGAAATTTGGCAGGACGACCGGGCCTGGTGAAAAATTTGATATTCTGAAGTCGCCCAAACAATAAAATGCAAAATGGCTCCATAGCGCCCCCTAAGGTGAAAATTCACACTATTGACTGTCACGCCTGTACGCTTTGTCATATTGACACAAAAATTGACACACATATGTATCTCAATAAGATCTACAAAAAAGTCAGTGCGGCCGTATCTGTCAAAATTACGGTTAAAGGGTTATTTCGCATTTTTTGCCGATCCGCACACATTGGAATTTCGCTAACTCCTCCGAAGGCTTTCGTTCCACCGGCACCACATTTGCTCAGGCCAATCTACACCCCGTGGCCATTAAAAGTTATCAAAATCATGACGCTGCACCCCAAGGTTTAGGTTCTAGGGGGCGCCAAAGATAACACTAAAATCCACATATTTAAAAGTCTTATAACTTTTTATTTTTGTCCTCACTGGCCTCCAAGTTTTCTAGGATGATGCAATGTCCAGCCATCAACACATTTGTGAAGGAATTTCTACTCCCCAAAAGAGCGCCCCCCCATGGCAGGAGAAAAAAGTCCATTTTTTCTTGTCCCCTAAGGTGAAAATACACATTGTTGAGTGTCACGCCTATACGCTTTGTCAAAATGACACAAAAATTGACACACACATGTAACTCAATAAGATCTACGAAAAAGTCAATGCGCGCGTATCTGTCAAATGTACGGTTAAAGGGTTATTCCGCATTTTTTGCCGATCCGCACACATTGGAATTTCGCTAACTCCTCCTAAGGCTTTCGTTCCACCGGCACCACATTTGCTCAGGCCAATCTACACCCCATGGCCATTAAAAGTTATCAAAATCATGACGCTGCACCCCACGGTTTAGGTTCTAGGGGGCGCCAAAGATAACCCTAAAATCCACATATTTAAAAGTCTTATAACTTTTTATTTTTGTCCTCACTGGCCTCCAAGTTTTCTAGGATGATGCAATGTCCAGCCATCAACACATTTGTGAAGGAATTTTTACTCCCCAAAAGAGCGCCCCCCATGGCAGGAGAAAAAAGTCCATTTTTTCTTGTCCTCTAAGGTGAAAATACATATTGTTGAGATTCACGCCTATACGCTTTGTCATATTGACACAAAATTTGACAATCACGTGCCTTGCCTGGTATCATTTTTTTCAGCACAACCTCACCTGTGCGAATTTACAGTTATTTTATCATGTTGACATACTGAATTTACACAATGGACCCAAATTCACACACAAAACATAAAATCCGAGTGGAAAAAAGTAACATTTTTACTGTGAAAACCACAAATATGTGTGATGAACTGTTTTTAAAACTTAAACTTCAAATAAAAATTGTAAACTTCAAAACATATGCAAATTTTTAACAAAGAACATAGTGATTTACCTCTATTTACATCAAAATGCAGGCAATGGCCCAGGCGTTCTTTGTAAAATTATTTACAAAACACTGTATAGTCTCACAAATGTCACTTTTTATTTATGCCACTACAAAAAAACATGATGTAAATGATGCATGATGTAAAACATGATGTAAAAAACTTGTGTAGATCCTCCTCTATGTCAGTCCATGTGTAATTTTTCCATAATTCTTTGTTTTTTGCAGCATTTTTGTTAGTGTAACTGCAGATTGTGCTGACAGTGTCTATGGCACAAAAAAAAAAAAAAAATTAAAATGCCTCAACATGAACCCCTGGTGGTCTCTGAGGGTGAAACCTGCTAACTGCTGCAGCTCTGTCAGCTTCAGTCTCCCATGCAGAGCTCTGAGCGCATGTGTGGCTCTGCACCCTTAGCAGCGTTGCTAACTCCTCAGTAAGGAAAGCCTGCTTCATGTCAGAGTCTCTAAACTCCAGAAGAAGTCGATAAAAGTCCCTTTCTTTCTAAAAAAAAGTCGTTAGGGGGTCTGAAAAGTCATTGAATCTAACAACAAAGTCGCTAGGTTTGCAACTACGTGTCCCAGACTGCATCCCTGCTGAGAGTCCCTCCCTCCCTTCTCATGTTGCAGGAAGAACGTAAGCGCCCCCCTTGTCAATCAGTCACCATATAATTTTGGATTGGTTGTTGTGGTGAAGTTTTCCACCAATAGGAGAGATGTTGTGGTGTGTTTTTTTTTTCTTTTGGCAAGCCTTTTCCGCCTGTAAGAGCTGTCGCTAATGTCTGCATGCTATGTTTTCCTGTCTCATACAGCGCGATCGAGCGCCGAACGTGATCAAAATAAGCAGAAAAAAAGTATCGCGGACATAATTTATCATAACTCTGGTTTTATTTGGCCTATCAACACAATTTAAAAACTGGTATATAGGTTGAGGTCCTCACTTTTGAGATAAGTTGAAACGGAGAGTCAACGAGGCTCCGTCTTGCAGCTACATCCGGTTAAATATGTCATGTGACTTGAACGCACACACAGACACACACACACGCACACACACACACACACACACACACACACACACACACACACACACACACACACACACACACTCAGAGTCTGGTTTTTAGCACCTGCAAAAACATGCTATTTACATATTTGACAAGAATGCAGAGGCTCCTTTTGCCCCTGAAAAAAATCAAATTTCAAACACAACTTGACTGGTCATTTCTCCAAAAGACAACCATGAAGCTCCATCCAAACCTGAAGCAGGCAGTCGGTGCATGTGTACAGTAACCTGAGGGGAGTGAGGTGAGTGCTTCTGAGGAGAACATGAGCAGTGAAGATTCACCTTGGAGCTAGAACAGAGACATGCACATGATTATACAGGGGCAGGGGCTCAAGTTTTTTCCAGTCGTTTATACAATATGGAAATTAATGTGAAATTAAAACACAAAGTATTAATAGAAAGGTAATGACTGTCCTGTGTAGGTGACAGTGATATCCAATAGGCTAGGCACTCACGAGGCTGGCTGTGGCAAGTGTAAGTGAAAGCAACACGCACTGGCAGGAAGAACAGCAAACGCAGATGAAGGAAAAGGGTCTTTGCAGTGATGGGCGTTACCAGAGAGGGCGATGGCCAGAGGACACAAATGGGACGGGGAGGCAGCACGTTGGGGGGGGGGGGGGGGGGGACGCGACACGGCTCGGGCCCGCCAGTGCCCCAACGGGGTCCTAGTTATTTTTCCTCCGCTTTAAACTGGAAAATGGCCCACTTCCCACTGGCGAAAACTCAGGAAATTTGGCAGGACGACCGGGCCTGGTGAAAAATTCGATATTCTGAAGTCGCCCAAACAAAAAAATGAAAAATGGCTCCATAGCGCCCCCTATGGTGAAAACTCACCTGACGCCTGTACGCTTTGTCAAAATGACACAAAATTTGACACACATGTGTATCTCAATAAGATCTACGAAAAAGTCAGTGCGGGCGCATCTGTGAAATGTACGGTTAGAGGGTTATTTCGCATTTTTTGCAGATCTGCACACATTGGAATTTCGCTAACTCCTCCGAAGGCATTCGTTCCACCGGCACCACATTTGCTCAGGCCAATCTACACCCCATGGCCATTAAAAGTTGTACAAATCATGACGCTGCACCCCACGGTTTACGTTCTAGGGGGCGCCAAAGATAACCCACAAATCCACATTCTTAAAAATCTTATAACTTTTTATTTTTGTCCTCATTGGCCTCCAAGTTTTCTAGGATGATGCAATGTCCAGCCATCAACACATTTGTGAAGGAATTTTTACTCCCCAAAACAGCGCCCCCCCCCCCATGGCAGGACAAAAAAGGCCATTTTTTCTTGTCCCCTAAGGTGAAAATACACATTGTTCAGTGTCACGCCTATACGCTTTGTCATATTGACACAAAATTTGACACACACGTGTATCTCAATAAGATCTACGAAAAAGTCAATGGGCACATATCTGTAAAATGTACGGTTAAAGGGCTATCTTGCATTTTTTGCCGATTCGCACACATTGGAATGTGGCTAACTCCTCCTAAGGCTTTCGTTCTACTGACACCAAATTTGCTCAGGCCAATCTACACCCCATGGCCATTCAAAGTTGTACAAATCATGACGCTGCACCCCACGGTTTAGGTTCTAGGGGGCGCCAAAGATGACCCAAATATCCACATTTTTAAAAGTCTTATAACTTTTTATTTTTGTCCTCACTGGCCTCCAAGTTTTCTAGGATGATGCAATGTGCAGCCATCAACACATCTGTGAAGGAATTTTTTCTCCCCAAAAGAGCGCCCCCCCCCCCCCATGGCAGGAGAAAAAGTCAAGTTTTTCCAGCCCATCGCTTAATGGCTCAAACGCATTGCTCTCCCGCTAAAACCAAAAGGAGGAGCAACTTGCCATTTGGATATGTCCTAGCTGTGTTTGTGCCCTCACTCATGGTCCAGAGTTTTTTCAAATAGGACATGTAGTTTGTCTGCAGCGAGCGTTTTGGTAGAAACTGTGCCTCCCATTCATTATAATGGGAAATGACCAAAGACAGGTGCGCACACCATCTTTGGACCTTGACTTTGACGTCACAGTTTGAGATACAAATGTTATTTGACCTCTGACCTTTGGTGGACACCCTAACCTTTCAACCCGCGAAAACGGCGTTTCAATAGCTCTTACGGCTTTCCTACAAATACACTTTGTTCAGCTACTCCTACTGTCCTTTAAGCTCTGCTTCTCAGATCATCAAAGAGTGTGCACGTGTGTAATGAGCGCATATTGAATGTTAATTATGTTAAATATGTTAATTATTAGAAGAAAAAACAACAACAGTCCTTTTGGACAAAATTTCTTTTTATTACAGAATTAGAATAATGGAAGCATAGTCCAAGGAAACCATTCAAGTGATGTCATACCTCATAATTTATTGAGATGTTGGCTAGTCTGGGCATTTCTTCATTCATCAGGTTTCCTGCATGCATACTAACAGAGCACATCAGTAGCAGTGAGTGATAAGTATGAGTGTGTCATTGTGTAAGAAAGAAAGTGGTTTACTTACACATCCATAGAAAATAGGTGGTTGAGCACAGCACGCAAACAAAGCTTTGCCACAACGGTTGAACTTCCCAAGTAGCTGATACCAAGGTCACACAATCATGGTGAGCAAAGGTCAAACCAGGCCAGGCACTCACGAGGCTGGCTGTGGCAAGTGTAAGTGAAAGCAACACACAATGGCAGGAAGAACAGCAAACACCGATGAAGGAAAAGGGTCTTTGCAGTGATGGGCGTCACCAGAGAGGGCGATGGCCAGAGGGCACGAATGGGACGGGGAGGCGGTCGCGCTGGGGGCGGCGCGACGCGGCTCGGGCCCGACAGTGCCCCACCGGGGCCCTAGTCTTTGTTTCTTTAGGGCCCGAGCCAGCTGCAGAGCAGCCGGGCGTAGGCCCTATTATTCCCCAAGTGGTTTTTCTTTGTTTCTTTAGGGCCCGAGCGTAGCTGCTAAGCAGCTGCGAGAGCCCTATTATTCCTGATGGATTCTTCTTTCTTCTTCTTCTTCTTATTATTTTTCTGCCCCTTTGAACTGGAAAATGGCCCACTTCCCACTGGTGAAAACTCATGAAATTCGGCAGGACGACCGGGCCTGGTGAAAAATTCGATATTCTGAAGTCACCCAAACAATCAAATGCAAAATGGCTCCATAGCGCCCCCTAAGGTGAAAAATTCACATGATTGAGTGTCACGCCTGTACGCTTTGTCAAAATGACACAAAATTTGACACACACGTGTATCTCAATAAGATCTACAAAAAAGTCAGTGCGGGCGTATCTGTCAAATGTACGTTTAAAGGGCTATTTCGCATTTTTTGCCGATCCGCACACATTGGAATTTCGCTAACTCCTCCGAAGGCTTTCGTTCCACCGGCACCAAATTTGCTCAGGCCAATCTAACCCCATGGCCATTCAAAGTTGTACAAATCATGACGCTGCACCCCACGGTTTACGTTGTACGGGGCGCCAAAGATAACCCAAAAATCCACATTCTTACAAGTCTTATAACTTTTTATTTCTGTCCTCACTGGCCTCCAAGTTTTCTAGGATGATGCAATGTCCAGCCATCAACACATTTGTGAAGGAATTTTTACTCCCCAAAAGAGCGCCCCCCCATGGCAGGAGAAAAAAGTCCATTTTTTCTTGTCCTATAAGGTGAAAATACACATTGTTGAGTGTCACGCCTGTACGCTTTGTCATATTGAAACAAAATTTGATAATCACGTGTATCTCAATAAGATCTACGAAAAAGTCAACGCGCACGTGTCTGCAAAATGTACGGTTAAAGGGCTATTTCGCATTTTTGGTTGATTCGCACACATTGGAATGTGGCTAACTCCTCCTAAAGCTTTCGTTCCACCGGCACCAAATTTGCTCAGGCCAATCTACACCCCATGGCCATTAAAAGTTGTACAAATCATGATGCTGCACCCCACGGTTTACGTTCTAGGGGTCGCCAAAGATAACCCAAAAATCCACATTCTTAAAAGTCTTATAACTTTTCATTTTTGTCCTCACTGGCTTCAAAGTTTTCTAGGATGATGCAATGTCTAGCCATCAACACATTTGTGAAGGAATTTTTTCTCCCTAAAAGAGTGCCCCCCCATGGCAGGAGAAAAAGTCAAGTTTTTCCTGCCCATCGCTCAATGGCTCAAACACATCGCTCTCTCGGAAAAAAACGAAAGGAGGAGGAACTTGCCATTTGGATATATCCTAGCTGTGTTTGTGCCCTCACTCATGGTCCAGACTTTTTTCAAATAGGACATGTAGTTTGTCTGCAGCAAGCGTTTTGGTAGAAACTGCGCCTCCCATTCATTATAATGGTAAATGACCACAGACAAGTGCGCACACAATCGTTGAACCTTGAGTGTGACGCGATCGGGAGGGAGAGGCGGTCGTGTTGGGGGCGGCGTGACACAGCTCGGGCCCGCCAGTGCCCCAACGGGGCCCTAGTATTATTATTATTTTTCCTCCCCTTTGAACTGGAAAATGGCCCACTTCCCACTGGCGAAAACTCATGAAATTTGGCAGGACGACCGGGCCTGGTGAAAAATTTGATATTCCGAAGTCGCCCAAACAAGAAAATGCAAAATGGCTCCATAGCGCCCCCTAAGGTGAAAATTCACACTATTCACTGTCACGCCGGTACGCTTTGTCAAAATGACACAAAAATTGACACACACATGTATCTCAATAAGATCTACAAAAAAGTCAGTGCGGGCGTATCTGTCAAATGTACGGTTAAAGGGTTATTTCGCATTTTTTGCCGATCCGCACACATTGGAATTTCGCTAACTCCTCCGAAGGCTTTCGTTCCACCGGCACCACATTTGCTCAGGCCAATCTACACCCCATGGCCATTAAAAGTTATTCAAATCATGACACTGCACCCCACGGTTTAGGTTCTAGGGGGCGCCAAAGATAACCCTAAAATCCACATATTTCAAAGTCTTATAACTTTTTATTTTTGCCCTCACTGGCCTCCAAGTTTTCTAGGATGATGCAATGTCCAGCCATCAACACATTTGTGAAGGAATTTTTACTCCCCAAAAGAGCGCCCCCCCATGGCAGGAGAAAAAAGTCCATTTTTTCTTGTCCCATAAGGTGAAAATTCACACTATTGACTGTCACGCCTGTACGCTTTGTCAAAATTACACAAAAATTGACACACACATGTATCTCAATAAGATCTACAAAAAAGTCAGTGCTGGCGTATCTGTCAAATGTACGGTTAAAGGGTTATTGCGCATTTTTTGGCGATCCGCACACATTGGAATTTCGCTAACTCCTCCGAAGGCTTTCGTTCCACCGGCACCACATTTGCTCAGGCCAATCTACACCCCATGGCCATTAAAAGTTATTCAAATCATGACGCTGCACCCCACGGTTTAGGTTCTAGGGGGCGCCAAAGATAACCCTAAAATCCACATATTTAAAAGTCTTATAACTTTTTATTTTTGTCCTCTCTGGCCTCCAAGTTTTCTAGGATGATGCAATGTCCAGCCATCAACACATTTGTGAAGGAATTTTTACTCCCCAAAAGAGCGCCCCCCCATGGCAGGAGAAAAAAGTCCATTTTTTCTTGTCCCATAAGGTGAAAATACACATTGTTGACTGTCATACCTGTATGCTTTGTCATATTGACACAAAATTTGACACACACATGTATCTCAATAAGATCTACGAAAAAGTCAATGCGCGCGTATCTGTAAAATGTACTGTTAAAGGGCTATTTTGCATTTTTTGCCGATTAGCACACATTGGAATGTGGCTAACACCTCCTAAGGCTTTCGTCCCACTGACACCAAATTTGCTCAGGCCAATCTACACCCCATGGCCATTCAAAGTTTTAAAAATCATGACGCTTCACCCCACGGTTTACGTTCTAGGGGGCGCCAAAGATGACCCAAATATCCACATTCTTAAAAGAATCCACATCCCCCCCCCCCCCCCCATCCCCCATCCCCCATGGCAGGAGAAACAGTCAAGTTTTTCCTGCCCATCACTCAATGGCTCAATCGCATCGCTCTCCCGGCAACACCGTAACGAGGAGCAACTTGCCGTTTGGATATATCCTAGCTGTGTTTGTGCCCTCACTCATGGTCCAGACTTTTTTCAAATAGGACATGTAGTTTGTCTGCAGCGAGTGTTTTGGTAGAAACTGCGCCTCCCATTCATTATAATGGGAAATGACCACAGACAAGTGCGCACACCATCTTTGGACCTTGAGTGTGACGCGATCGGGAGGGGGAGGCGGTCGCACTGGGGGCGGCGCAACGCGGCTCATGCCCGCCAGTGCCCCAACGGGGCCCTAGTTTGTTAGGGCCCGAGCGTAGCTGCTAAGCAGCTGCGAGAGCCCTCTTGTTCCTGATGGATTCTTCTTTCGTTAGGGCCCGAGCCAGCTGCAGAGCAGCCGGGCGTAGGCCCTATTATTCCCCAAGTGGTTTTTCTTTGTTTCTTTCTTTCTTTTTTCTTTTTCCTCCCCTTTGAACTGGAAAATGGCCCACTTCCCACTGGCGAAAACTCATGAAATTTGGCAGGACGACCGGGCCTGGTGAAAAATTTGATATTCTGAAGTCGCCCAAACAATAAAATGCAAAATGGCTCCATAGCGCCCCCTAAGGTGAAAATTCACACTATTGACTGTCACGCCTGTACGCTTTGTCATATTGACACAAAAATTGACACACATATGTATCTCAATAAGATCTACAAAAAAGTCAGTGCGGCCGTATCTGTCAAAATTACGGTTAAAGGGTTATTTCGCATTTTTTGCCGATCCGCACACATTGGAATTTCGCTAACTCCTCCGAAGGCTTTCGTTCCACCGGCACCACATTTGCTCAGGCCAATCTACACCCCGTGGCCATTAAAAGTTATCAAAATCATGACGCTGCACCCCAAGGTTTAGGTTCTAGGGGGCGCCAAAGATAACACTAAAATCCACATATTTAAAAGTCTTATAACTTTTTATTTTTGTCCTCACTGGCCTCCAAGTTTTCTAGGATGATGCAATGTCCAGCCATCAACACATTTGTGAAGGAATTTCTACTCCCCAAAAGAGCGCCCCCCCATGGCAGGAGAAAAAAGTCCATTTTTTCTTGTCCCCTAAGGTGAAAATACACATTGTTGAGTGTCACGCCTATACGCTTTGTCAAAATGACACAAAAATTGACACACACATGTAACTCAATAAGATCTACGAAAAAGTCAATGCGCGCGTATCTGTCAAATGTACGGTTAAAGGGTTATTCCGCATTTTTTGCCGATCCGCACACATTGGAATTTCGCTAACTCCTCCTAAGGCTTTCGTTCCACCGGCACCACATTTGCTCAGGCCAATCTACACCCCATGGCCATTAAAAGTTATCAAAATCATGACGCTGCACCCCACGGTTTAGGTTCTAGGGGGCGCCAAAGATAACCCTAAAATCCACATTTTTTTTCTTTTTCCTCCCCTTTGAACTGGAAAATGGCCCACTTCCCACTGGCGAAAACTCATGAAATTTGGCAGGACGACCGGGCCTGGTGAAAAATTTGATATTCTGAAGTCGCCCAAACAATAAAATGCAAAATGGCTCCATAGCGCCCCCTAAGGTGAAAATTCACACTATTGACTGTCACGCCTGTACGCTTTGTCATATTGACACAAAAATTGACACACATATGTATCTCAATAAGATCTACAAAAAAGTCAGTGCGGCCGTATCTGTCAAAATTACGGTTAAAGGGTTATTTCGCATTTTTTGCCGATCCGCACACATTGGAATTTCGCTAACTCCTCCGAAGGCTTTCGTTCCACCGGCACCACATTTGCTCAGGCCAATCTACACCCCGTGGCCATTAAAAGTTATCAAAATCATGACGCTGCACCCCAAGGTTTAGGTTCTAGGGGGCGCCAAAGATAACACTAAAATCCACATATTTAAAAGTCTTATAACTTTTTATTTTTGTCCTCACTGGCCTCCAAGTTTTCTAGGATGATGCAATGTCCAGCCATCAACACATTTGTGAAGGAATTTCTACTCCCCAAAAGAGCGCCCCCCCATGGCAGGAGAAAAAAGTCCATTTTTTCTTGTCCCCTAAGGTGAAAATACACATTGTTGAGTGTCACGCCTATACGCTTTGTCAAAATGACACAAAAATTGACACACACATGTAACTCAATAAGATCTACGAAAAAGTCAATGCGCGCGTATCTGTCAAATGTACGGTTAAAGGGTTATTCCGCATTTTTTGCCGATCCGCACACATTGGAATTTCGCTAACTCCTCCTAAGGCTTTCGTTCCACCGGCACCACATTTGCTCAGGCCAATCTACACCCCATGGCCATTAAAAGTTATCAAAATCATGACGCTGCACCCCACGGTTTAGGTTCTAGGGGGCGCCAAAGATAACCCTAAAATCCACATATTTAAAAGTCTTATAACTTTTTATTTTTGTCCTCACTGGCCTCCAAGTTTTCTAGGATGATGCAATGTCCAGCCATCAACACATTTGTGAAGGAATTTTTACTCCCCAAAAGAGCGCCCCCCCATGGCAGGAGAAAAAAGTCCATTTTTTCTTGTCCTCTAAGGTGAAAATACATATTGTTGAGATTCACGCCTATACGCTTTGTCATATTGACACAAAATTTGACAATCACGTGCCTTGCCTGGTATCATTTTTTTCAGCACAACCTCACCTGTGCGAATTTACAGTTATTTTATCATGTTGACATACTGAATTTACACAATGGACCCAAATTCACACACAAAACATAAAATCCGAGTGGAAAAAAGTAACATTTTTACTGTGAAAACCACAAATATGTGTGATGAACTGTTTTTAAAACTTAAACTTCAAATAAAAATTGTAAACTTCAAAACATATGCAAATTTTTAACAAAGAACATAGTGATTTACCTCTATTTACATCAAAATGCAGGCAATGGCCCAGGCGTTCTTTGTAAAATTATTTACAAAACACTGTATAGTCTCACAAATGTCACTTTTTATTTATGCCACTACAAAAAAACATGATGTAAATGATGCATGATGTAAAACATGATGTAAAAAACTTGTGTAGATCCTCCTCTATGTCAGTCCATGTGTAATTTTTCCATAATTCTTTGTTTTTTGCAGCATTTTTGTTAGTGTAACTGCAGATTGTGCTGACAGTGTCTATGGCAAAAAAAAAAAAAAAAATTAAAATGCCTCAACATGAACCCCTGGTGGTCTCTGAGGGTGAAACCTGCTAACTGCTGCAGCTCTGTCAGCTTCAGTCTCCCATGCAGAGCTCTGAGCGCATGTGTGGCTCTGCACCCTTAGCAGCGTTGCTAACTCCTCAGTAAGGAAAGCCTGCTTCATGTCAGAGTCTCTAAACTCCAGAAGAAGTCGATAAAAGTCCCTTTCTTTCTAAAAAAAAGTCGTTAG